TTTGTAGTTAATTTATTAATAATAATCTTGGTAAACGCGGACAACTATTTAAAATTAATTGAACTAACTGATTTATGATAACCGTGAGCTGGGTATCAGTCGGATAGCCACAGGAGCTCACAATATTGAAGTTGTATTTTGAAAACTTTATTTGATATTTAATTAATTCAAGTATTTATATTATATTATATGACATATTTTATTGTTAACATGACTATGAAAAATTCATTTTAATTTCAGCAGATTTTAAAATACTTGACGTTATAATGTCAAGTATTACCCCTTCCCTTGATACTTGACAGGACCCTCAAATACTTGAATGTCAAGGTGAAATACTTGACAATGGGCAGTCTACTTCCGATACAAAACAATTGAAATTAAAATAATCTGCTCATGGTGACAGCAATTGACGCATTAAATTTTATTGAGTAAATTAATTTTTATGTCCAAATTTAATATAATTTTAATATTTCTAAAAATTCAAAAATTGTATTTAAATTTAAATGAATAAATAAAGCATTTTAAAAACTATTCGTGTTGAAAATACGGCTAAAACTTTATTGTGAATATCATATATTTATAAAATTTACTATATATTATGTGTACTATATATTACTATACTATTTAATATGTACCATTTCTTGGTTTAATAATTATTTTAGTTGAAAGATTGAAATATATATTAAATTTTACCATTATTATGTTCAGTTGTTGCGTATAATTTACTCGAGATTGTTTCCAAAATAGCCAGCATAATTATTACAATAAAACAGCAACTTCTCAGTTTAATTTATTAAAAAAAATTGAATAAAATTTTATAAAATTAATTTTATATATAAAATAACTGAATAAAATATAATTTTATATTCAAAAACTAAATTTTCAATATAATATTCAAACGTCAAATTGAAAAATAATTTGTAATATTTTAAGCTAAATATTTGAATTTAAATATCAGTACAAAATTGAATTACCCGGCAGAAATGTTACGAGACTATTAAAACTATAGTTATGTAAGTTGTATAATGCTCCTCCCTACCAACCACTCATTGGTTAAGGCTTTGCTCTAACGGTTATATAACAAGATTGTAAAACCTTTGCTGAGTTAGTACACTATAGGGTATGGTTGGGTTCACTTTGGACTCATCTAAACTCTATATTTGTATTCTTTTTCTATATTTTATTCTAATAAACTGTAATTATGAGTCAAACCATTGGCTAAGTTTAATTATCATTTCCGACGGACTCAACAATATTATACTTTATCATAAAATAAATAATCAGTGTTTTTAATTTTATAAATGTTTTAAATATTTAAGCATTTTTTAAATAACTATATACCTTCAATTGTAACGACTGAAATCATCAGGATGATGATTACAATGATAATATTAATCTTTATGTTAAATAAAATGCGTGTTCAAAATTTGATTTAAAATGGACTACACAAATTGACTAATTTAATTTTACATATAATTAATTTTATAGCAAATATGTTTTAATAGGGAGCATTACAGAATCACGAATATGTCGTGTAGACGTCCTATCTTAGCGAACACGAAGCACTAGAAAGGACTGTCGTTTGTATCGCACCGGTAGGTCGGGACTGGTCGAACCGGAACTAGGCTTCACTCCAATCCCTGAATCTCGGGATATGTATACCAAGATTAAGTCCGGCCGACACTGAAGTGTTGGACAAACAATAGCACACAGGAATGGTTTAGTGAAAAACTTTTAATTATATTTTTTAAGATATTTGTTAAGAGATTGAACTCTCTATACAATAAGCATTGACTTAAATAATGAAATACATTAGTTATATGACATTGAAAACTAGAGATAATAAATGATTAAATATTTGGAATATATAATTATCTCTCTCTCTCTCTCTCTCTCTCTCTCACACACACACACACACACACAAACATACACACACACACACTGGGGTTTTAAAGTCAATGTCATCATATCAATATAATGTTTGCGAGTTTGTATTAATATGATCGCATGCAAAGTTATAAAAATAAAGATGCTTAATTGATAACATTTAACACAATTATTTATTATCGTATTAAGACATTTCTCATATTTTATTAAATTATTAGAATTAAATAATTTAAATTATTAGCATACTTAAAATATTTAATCATTTTAGTAATTGGTTTGCAATTTGAATGAACGGACTCTCAATGAAAACATAACCGAAATAACTGATAATAAATGTCACAATCACTCCCGATATGGACTCCAATAACTGCAATAATAAGAAATTAAATTAATAAGATTTAAAAGTAATAAGGGTAAAAGTTAATTATGCGGATTTTAAGGGACATGTATTTTAGTAAATTATTGTAAAATAACGATTAAAAGGTTAATGATTTGTTGCTCGATTTAAAACTATAGATGTTAATTTTAATTTAATTCAATTAATTTAATTTTAACTTATTTTAGTGACCTCTCATATGAAAATTAAATTTCACCAATATTACTTAATATGACTTAAACACTAATACCAAGGTAAATTTAAATAATTTTACATTGTGTAACTGATAATTAGTCACTTAATTTATCAATAATTTGACCACTTAAAACATATTTCATATTAATGTAAATAAAAATTTTAAAATTATTACTATGCATATCATTTAAATACCACAATTTATTATTAATGAACACTATTACTATTAATTTAGTTAAAATACTAATCAATTTTTATAAAACACTTACCGCTGTCCCCACTGTTAAGTAAAGTGTTTGTCTGGTTGTGTAAATCATATAATAATAAACCGTCACATGACTGAGATAAACCTGATAAGTCAGTTTACTAATAATTTGCCATCCCTTCCACAACAGTATGCCGTTGAGCACCGGTGCCCCATCCGTCCCACACGTGTATATTATATACGCCATACATATACACCATAGTATGCAATGGATTGAGGCATACAATGCACTCAACATATTATCCGATGGCATGGATTGACTTGCATACAAAAAAGTAATCAGTATGATCATGGTCATTGTTGCCATACATAATCTCCATAAGATTGAACAGTATTTCTAAAAAATATATAAAATCTTAGAAATTGTTTGCAATAATCTGCATAAATATGTACATTGTTTATGTGACTCTTATTCAGGTATTTGTTATAATATTTCGCCAATAGTATCCCGATACAATAAGGTCCCACATACGAGATAATGTTAAAGTAAATTTTCATATAATATCTAGAAATAAATTTCCGACTATTACTAACAGTATTATCATATATGAAGTTCACAGGAGCAGTTAGCTTACTATAGGTTGCCACTCGCTGTCCAACTCTTATTAAATTAAAACCTACATGATTATATAAGTTAAGGATGCTAAATTAAAAATATCTAGGTCCGGTAATCTATTGGAAGGTGGTATGACCATAATCCAGTGATTAATTTTGCGATATTCGTATAACGGTCCATACAAACTCAATGGACATTTGATGTGAACTCATACATTATTTTTAGACTTATTTTTTATAGTATGAGTAATGTAAAAAGTGAATAATGCATATTAAAACGTTGAAAATTATGTGATTATCGGAAACTTGACAACTGGATTATGCCCTTACTACATTCTTATAGATTATCAGACCCCGATATTCTTAATTTAACATGTATAACCTATATAATCATGTAGGTTTAATTAAATAAGAGTTGGACAGCGAGTGACACCACATATTAGCTATATTTCTATATAATTAATAATTTGGCTAAAAATATGTTTTCAATAAAAACCAATGAATATTTTATCAATAATAAACTTTTGGTCAAATTAGTAATTAAATTTAAATATTGTTAACATTCCTATGGTTCTGTAAAATAATGCTAAATATTCTTATATGCTTACGTAGAAGGTATAATAAATTTGGCGTTATTCTGCACATATATGACCCCAATTGTGACCATGCTTAATATAATAATCAACAAATTTAATCCAATACTAAGCATCTGTTTCTATAAGTATAATATATTTCAAGATTGAGAATATAATCACATAATATTATTGTTAGAATAAATAGTAAAACTATATTAAATTGTTACTTGATTTGTTTAGCAGTTATAAACGCTAATAATAAAGGTGATATTAAGAAAAGTTGCCACTCGATTCGTAATGACCATGTTACTAAAAGACACTACGAATATACAGTATAAGACAGAAAGTTGTATAAAAAACTATCAACGTATGAATCATACAATGTTCTTTCTATTAAACTGTCCCAAATTGAGCATGGTGGCCCACCAATTGTCATGACAAGCTCTAGAGTAAGTATTTATATACTGGTGCCACTCGGGCCCCGACCCCAACACCTCTACGAGTATGGCAAAGGCAATGACAGCGCCGACGGATGGCATTAGGCGTACGAATCGGCGAATGATTTTGCGGATCGGAAACAAATAATTTACGGCTGAAGTGCTACGCATCCCATGAGACCGGCCTAACTGTCCGTTTGCTTGAAGCAAACCACTTATCATAAAAAAGGTGGCCATACATAGTGTTGGAAGTGTCCTTAGTATAGCGCGAAATACTCTAAATTTGTCTATTACTTCCCATGAATTTGCTAGTTATATAAAACATAATGTAAAATAGTTCACATTGTTAATTTATATATTTTGAAACACTGTTTTAATACACTATTAAAAACTATTACTTAATTAAGATTAATCTCCATTACCTCCATAATTGTTATTTATAACATTGAGTCTGAAGTCGTAGTGAACTAACATTACATGTAACGATAATAGGGTTCGTATTCCCGATAAACACGACAGCCATTGATCCTGACGTGTGTCCACTCGAAACAGATTACAAGTGTTTTTAGTGATTGAAAAGTTGTCCGCAAATAACCGCAAAATATGTGCCATTTCTTGGGATTAATAATTATTTTAGTTAAAAGATTGAAAGATTGAAATGTATATATTGAATGTTACCATTTTTATTTTCAGTTGTTGCATATAATTTACTCGAGATTGTTCCCAAAATAGCCAGCATAATTATTACAATAAAACAGCAACTTCTCAGGTTAAGTTATTTAATAAAATTGAATATAATTTTATAAAATTTATTTTATAAGGAAAATAACTGAATAAAATATAATTTTATATATTAATACTTATTCAAAAACAAAAATTTCAAAATTTTATTCAAACGTCAAATTGGAAAATAATTTGTAATATTTTAAGCTAGATATTTGAATTTAAATATATCAAATGAAGGATCACAAATATATCTTGTTAGAAAGTTTTCAGTGCATTGGACTAATGTATTAAAACTTTTATCCTTGTTATAACAAATATTGTACTTTGCTATAAAACTTTGAATAATTTTTTTTGCACTATATTTTTGCTAATTCTTTAATAATTCAATACAATATTTGCAATTTATAAAAGGGATAAATTCTTGTATACTTTAGTCAAAAGCACTTAAAAGTTGTTCACAAGTTTAAATATTTGTGGTATGATATTGGATTTGATATATTTTCATTCATTTATTGTCTACTTATATCTTAATTAATAAATACAAACCCAATGATGATATGCAACCATTGAATCGGATTATCATTTCTGTGAACGCATTGCTCTAATCGTGCGCTCATTAAGTGTTTCGACGAATCTATTGAGAAGTAGTAATCATTTTTAAAATATTTCACCTTGTACAATATTTCGTGAAAATCATACATTTCTGAAGCATTGCATTAATATCGCGTTTACTGCAAACACTGGGCAAACAAATACCGATCGATGCGTTCATATAATTATATTCATCCCTTATTTTGAACTAAATGTTAAAAAATACAGTTTTATAATATGTTTATTAAGTTAATGTTCAGCAAAATGATTCACTAATATATTGAAGTTGATTAGCCAAGTGCACTAATTGTGACAAATAACATTTTGACATTAGCCTCAATACATTTATAAACACTGAATTTAAAAATTCAATTATCCAAAGGAATTACCCATGTTATATTGTAATAAACATATCTATATATATGTTGTTTTAAAATAAATTTAGGATTTTGGATGAGTTGTGAGTCGAAAGCTTTTTTATTGCTTACGTGCTAAGTATCGAAGTATATTAATAAAAGGTTCCGACTCAACTTATCCATAATCCTGAATTTATTTTAAAACCACAGATATAATCTTATTTTAATAACCTTTTATTTTTAAAATATTCTTCAATTTATCAAAGGTTTGTCAATTTAATTGAATATTTTATAAAATATAGTAATAAATATTCTTTTAAACTTATAATATATTCACAATTTAAGGCAATAAAATACTTGTTGTCATATTTGTGGTAATTAAAAGTATTTTCTATGAGTAAATTGCTTAAAATATTCACGTTATTGATATTATTTTTGATTCAATCAATGAATATCTTTCGAAAATCATTGTTTAACTAATAAGAGATTATTTATACGGATTAGTTAAATAAAATAGGTTAATTTACAAATTGTTTATTCAGTTTATAATCATTGATATCAGATATACATACATGCACATTTCCAATAGTATGTCGCATGGGTATCTGTAACGTACAATACTGACCCACAATTTGAATACCGTTTCAATTGTTTGTAAATCAATACCCAAACACTCGTCATAGTCTCCAAAGAAATGTGTCGTGCCTTTTAAGATACCGGTGCCTAATGTTGCCGATGAGTCTATCACTTAATGTTGAAATAAAATTCATTAATTAATAGCTTATTTTTAAAAAATAATTACTTTTGAACCGCCATTCCTGTTGGACAGTATGGTTATCGTCCAATAGATCATGAATTACTTGCCGACACTCGACACTAATATCTGTTTCATTGTAATACGAAAACAATTGATTGCAAATCAATTCCCTGTGATATACCGAATGCGAGAGTTTTGGGTATAATATGGATAATGTAATTGTTATCACAATAAGTTTGACTGATAACTCCATGATGCTAATTTGGCAGCAAAATATTAATTTATTGTAACTCCAAATAATGTTTCATGCTAGAATAGCAGTTAAAAATTATATATTTACTTGTGAATTATAGCATGTTTTAACATTAAAACGTAATACTTTATTAACTAATAAAAAGGTCCAGATGTCCGTCACTTTATGACACTGTAGATAATAAACTGTTTCTAATAAACTGTAGAGATGGTATTAGTACTGCTATTGTGGTCAGATGTCTCTGGTGTCAATTTGCTTGATTAAACAGATGAAACACATATTTGTAAATATTTTACTAATAAATTTTAAAATAATTTATTAAAAAATAATTGATGAGCACAATGCTTAAATTATTAATTATTTTATTGTGTTAATTAATTGCAAATTTTATATGTTATATATTAAACTAAGCTCGCGGAATAATCATGGTTTACCTCACTTAGTATCAATGTAGTGGTCATTACGCGAACTTACAATGCCGTGTCACTCGCTGTACAACTCTTATTAAATTAAAACCTGCATGATTATATAGTTTAACCATGCTAAATTGAGAATATTGGGATCTGATAATCTATGGGAAGGTGGTATGGTCATAATCCAGTGGTCAGGTTTCCGATAATCGCATATTTTCAAAGTTTTTATATGCATTATTCACTATTTTTACATTACTCATACTATAAAAGTGAGTCTTAAAAATAATGCATGAATTCACATCAAATGTCTATTGAGTTTATATAGAGCGTTATACGAATATCGCAAACTTGACCACTGGATTATGACCATACCATCTTCTCATAGATTATCGGACCCCGATATTCTTAGTTTAGCATGGTAAACCTATATAATCATGCAGGTTTTAATTTAATAAGAGTTGTACAGCGAGTGACACCGCATTGTCAGTATAATAAATATCCAAATAATGAAATTATTGCCAAATAAATATACTAATACATCAAATATTTTGTATTGAATTTAAATCAAACCTTGCCACCTGATATGATTAATAGACATATTTTTAATACAATAAAATCAATAATTAATCTTGCAAAAATATAATAAAAATGAACTTAATATTATTAAACATTTAAAAGCAATTTTGTTGATTTATTTACAAAATTAACTGTGAATTGAAAATACTTGTTATACATTAATATAATTGTGTTGACTTTATAACTCAATGAGGTTTTATATGTCAAAGTTTGAAAAGTTAGATAAATTACAAATAATGTATAACTCAAATTTATTTACGTGGGCAGTTACAAAACAAATTTAATATTTCAATAAAATAAATGCAAAAAATTATAGATTATAATAACGTCATGAATTCATTTGTTTGATAAGTATGCAAATTAATACTTTATTGAATATTTTAAAAATATTGTAAATAATATTAGGTCCAAATTTTACGTAATTCAACTAGTATAATCTAATTATATATTTAAATATAATGCTAGAATTATACGAAAATGTTTTAATACAATGAATCATGTTTTTATTAAATTCATACATATAATATAACAATAAAAATAATTATTAATTTGGTATTTGTATATGATGCTTTACCAATATTATTTTGATATATTTAAGGGAAGCATTAAAACATAAAATTAATATCAGAAATTAAATTATTTAACAATTGTAATAACATAACAGTGAATGTAATGACAGAACTTAAAAATATAAATAAAAATTTATTGTTAATTACAAACACATTGATTGCCATATATTTGCTTTGGGAATAAGTAATGAAATAATTATTTAACATATTATTCAATTGGATTTCTTTAGTATCCATTGAATTGCAATTCTTGTCAATACATATCC